GGTGGGGGAGGAGGAAGAGGTATGGAGCTGCTTGCTCTTATGAGCTCAAAATAAGCATGCATCTGTTGCATCTACATATGATGTTGCTTCATCTACTACTGGACCTCCCTTTGCATTCTCAATGCCACCTTCTTCTCTATTTTTTTCTCCATTTTCTTTGCTTACTTCTTCTTCCATGCACTTTTCTTGATCTTCCACATATCCTCATTTTGCTTTTGGAGTTCTTTATAATGCGACCTTTATAAAGGCCACCCATTGTCTGTGACCACTTAGCATCCTCATCAACTGACTCAGGATCTTGAGAAAATGTTTCCTCAAACCTTTGAACATAGTCATCCTACAGTTCAATTTAGATAATTAGATATTAATATGGAGAACTATTTAACAAATCACTAATAATAACATACAGTGTCAATAAGAATGATTTACATATGTGACCTGAGATCATGTATCAACCCACGGGTTTTTGTTTCCTCTGCGAGTGTGTGTCTCCTTGAACAACTCTCCAGTCGTAGGTGGTCTCTTCAACGACTTCTGCAATTCAAAATAAATCACAATCTCAAATATGAAATTGTAGATAGAGTAAAATGAATTTTAAAATCACATATCAAATTTGCCTTAGTGCCAGCCAAAGTCTTAGATCCACCAGTATGCAATGATCCCCCCTTATTAGATGCCCTGTTTGTCTTGTTCTTCACAGAGAGATTTTTAAACTCATTTGTACCCCAATACTGCTGCAAGGCATGAAGAAAGTTGGGTGTTATCCAATCAGCAGTAGAAGGATCTTGATGAGCCTCAGTGTACATATGTCTTAGTCACTTTGCAGTGCGACTCTTCTAGGCCTTGAAAATCATCTTTTCGTCCTGGGGGGAATGGAGAAATTGCTCTACATAAACATAATTTCATTAGAAGAGGTACAAACAGTAATATATAATTACACTTAGTTAAAATTAATACACTATTATTACCTTCCAATCTTTGTATCATTCCATCTTTGTATCCTTCGGCACCTTTGCAAAACTTGTGTAAGGCGCATCATATATCTTCTTAATGGTATCTGTGACCTGGTGGAGACCTTTTTGTGGTGGCATCCAATTGATAACACAATAAAATAAAATAATTATTATAACATTCATATAAAATACGCAATGTTCAACATATTTTGAAGGAAACTTACCAAGTGGACTCATCCCATCTCAAAGTTTGTAACGATCTCGATGATGTCTGTGTCTGTGATGACTGTTGTCCACTTACAGCTGGGACAGTAGTGGATCCCTCTCTTATGCCCTGTGTAGTAGGTGACTGTGTGGCCTGTATAGTAGGCAGTGCAGAGTGTGAAACTCGCTATATTGGAGGAGGAGGAGCAATATACCCAGAATTGGGTACCATGATAAATTGCTCCTGCCCTTAGCCTGGGAGGTCTGCACTATAGCTAGTGTGGAGATCAAAGTGAGAGTGATGGGTGAAGAAGTGTTACCACGATTAGGACGCTGAGCAACACCTTTCTTATCTTTACCTACCATATCTGAATCAAATACAATATATGTTTAGAGACAAAAACCATAATCGCTATAAAATATGATTAATATTAATGATAACTCAAAATAAATAATCATGAAAACATAGTAAATTGACAAATCTACTTAATTTACCTCATTTACTCTAATAGTTTAAGACTACCTTCATTATCACTCGATGAAAGTTCATCCATAAATCCTTCCTCCTCATTTTCCGTCATGTCATCCATTTCATTATTTCTCAAAACTTGGATAGGAGGATCAATTATTTCAATTTCATTCAAAAGAGAAGATAGATTTGGAGGGACAACGATGTCTATTACTACACGTGAAGGGATTGAGTCATCAATTTGATATGCATCTTCATTACCTACTTCATCACTTTCAATTCGACCCCTTGGTTTAGTTTTTATTACAATCCTCCAACTTTTATTATATTTTCTAGGGTAAGATAAGAAATATACTTGTCTTGCATTTTGTGCAATGATGAAGGGGTCAAAGCTTTTAAATCTTTTGGTATGGTTAATCTCAATTATATTGTAATGGTTATGTTTACGTGTCCCTGTTAGGCGTGTTGGATCAAACCATTCACACTTAAATAAGACAATCCTTTTTATGGTTTTACCAGCATATTCAAGCTCAACTATTTTATGAAGTTTTCCATACCAATCATAGTCACCATCACTTGAATTTCCTTTCACACTACCCCACTATTATCTATTTTTCTCCCTTTACATGATTTAACGGTTTGGAATTTATATCCATTAACATAGTAAATTGGCCAACAATATGCTTTACATGATTCAAAGAATTCTAGTTTTATTCCCTCCGACTTGGGTGCAACCTATCATACATCCACTGAAAATTTTCTAAGAAACATCTGGATCAAGAACTATATTAACCTAATACAAATACACAATGTGGTATCAACCTTCAATTATACATTACACAAATTTTTTATATAAATTTTGGCAGAATCTCCCCTAATACATGTCAAATTTCTTACCTTTGTTTACCACTTTTTTACAAAAATTAAAATTTCACCACACATAACTAATATATTATATAACAATATATTAATCAATACATAAAATACAAACACATCACAATCCTAAATCGTTCTAGAGCACATCTCCTTGTAACTCCACAACATGCATATTCTACAAACTCCACAAACACAAACAATCTCACAACACACAATAATCAGGTTCGAAGAAGGACCTCTACACCCTTCCCCCAGTTATACAATCTTCAATCCTACAACTCTATCTTAGAAATTTTAAGTCTCTAAAATATATCAAAAATAAAAAAACTAAATTGATTAAAAGTTAAAGTATCGTACTAGAAATACAATGATGCAAATTATTTGACAAACAGATGCTCTAATCACTCACAAAGGCAAAAAAATTGAGCTCCTAGATAGAGAGAGGCGAGAGAGAAAGAGAGATTTATGAAAAATGAGGAAGGGGGAGGTGCTGTTTTATGGGTTTCAGACATTACAGACGGAAAAATCCATCTGTAAATGGTTTAATGAAATAGTGTATTTTAAATGTCTATTTATAGACAAATTTTTCCGTCTGTAAACTCGTCGAGTCCATTTATAGACGGAAAAATTTGTCTGTAACTCCCATTCCCAATTTCTCTCAAATTTTTAAATTATAGACAAAAAAATCTGTCTGTAATTCCTGTCTATATAGTTTCGCGCCAAATGGCGGGCAAACTACATATCCATCTGTAATACAGACAAATTTTTTAAAAATTAAAAAAAAAAAACAAATCCATCTATAATTTTATCTATATTACGGACAGATCTGTCTATAAATAACACTTTTCTACTAGTGCATGCGAGTATCTTCCTTTGCAACTTAAAATTTTCTCTCCCTTACCCTCATGCCTCAAACAATTTCTCAACATAAGTATATATAACACAAAAGAACTCGCTAAAGTACAATCACCTAAATACATACACCAGTGCTCTATAACTTTACTGGTTTCTTATTTTCTATTGAAAATGTTTTCTATACTTTGCTAATGTCATTCGCATGCATATCCTCTACATCCATTACGTAGTTCATACATATATTTATATTCATTACAATATTTAAATCTAATGGTAAAATAAAGAATTATCAATAATAGCTTTAAAGGATATTTTAAAAGTAAATAATAAAAAATATAGTTAAAAAATGTTTGTATTCTATATATATTATTTTTAAATTCTATACATAATATCTTTTAAAGTATTCTAAAAATTAAGTTAAAAAAATTAATATGTATTTAAAATAGTTCTCTAACACATGCTCACTTACCTTTTAAAAATAGTATCTTAATAAGTAAATGTTTATTATATTTAAAAAAATTAAAATTATGAAATTATATATTATTTTAAAAAGTTAGTGTATTAACAATTATGAATATTAATATAAATTTATTTTTAAAAGAAATATATTAATGAATTTTACTTTAGGTATATTTTTTTAAATAAAAAATATAATTTTAAAATAATTAAAGTTAACATTAGTCTTTATTAACTAATCTCATGTTGAAATAAATTATTATTTTTATTTTGAAGATTACGTGGAAAAGCAAAAGAATTTACAAACCTCGGAAGATGCAACCCTGGGCTCTGGACCACTGTCCATACCTCGGACTCGGAGGAGACAATCGTAGGTTTGGGTATTTGTTATTGTCCGTACATGACTAGACTGATTTCCTACGTCGTCCTCCGCATAGGTTGGAGGAATAAAATTCTTCACCCAACCCTTTCTTTTTGGGATAAAAAAATGATAAAAGGAATAAGATGTGCCCACTTTCACGAATAGGGCACCATCTTGACATGCAGAAAGACCCACAGAAGACATTATTTTGCTAGAACCAACCCTTTCTTTTATAAAAAAATTTGGCTAACACCAAGTATTAGATAAAAAGCAAATCATATATTTTATTAAATATTTTAATCATTTAAAAATAAGATATTTTTTAATATGACAATGATTAAATTTTATTATTAAATGATATAACAATACATCCTCCTAATTTAAATACATCTCTAATGTAAATTTTAATAATTTTTTATTTATTCATCTTTTAATCAGTCTCTTAAAATACTAGTTAATAATATACTTTAATATAACAACACAGTTTTCAATAAATAATTTTCGTATATTTTACTGAAGACTGTTAAAGTTTTCTTAGAAAAAATAAATTTTGTCACAATTTATATATATATATATTTCATTTGGGCCTTATTTCTCTTTTTTTCTTTTATTTATTTATATATATATATATATATAAAAGAAAAAAAGGAAAATAATGCCATGGAAATGAAATAAATACAGGTGCCAAGTGACTCCTCGGAAAGCAGAAACATTTGATTTCCGAAATTCCTAACCATCCTATGTTTGTTTCCTCCCATGTTTTAAGCTTTCTTCTCTCTCCTTTTGCTTTGAACCCTTAGGTGTCTGAAGCTCTCTTATTCTGTTAATGGCGTCCAACAACCCTCTTCCCGATCCAATGATATTTTCCGGTCAGTCCCATATCCCTCGTCGCCGGAAACATCGAAATTCAGCCGTCGCCGTTGCTTTTCGGCACAGAGCTGCACCCAAAAAGCACTCTGATAATAATAGCAATTCCCCTGTGAACTTTTGTGAAGGTTTACACAAAAGTGAGGCTTCTGCAAGGAAGCTCGCTGCAGGGTTGTGCCAGTTTAGGCTTATGGAAGCCTCAGAGGATGGCGGTGCTGATTTTCAAAATGCATCGTCTTTTCCATTGCCCATGTCTCCGGTATAATTAATGTCATATATTAGTGTGTATCTCTTTTCCTCTTTTTGTGTCTATGTTTTCTATTTAGAATATTCTTTGATTGGTTCGGTAAAAGCCCAAAATGGCAAAAATCAAACGTAAGTGTTTTTGGAAACTTTAGATTTCAGTATTTAGTGATGCATAGCCGAAAGCACGAGAAGATATAGAATAGTTAGTCTTGTGAGGCCAAAGCACACGCCTCTATTGTATGTAGTAAACTTTGTATGCTTTTTTTTATCAAGGAAAACTAACTAGGTAAGCAAATTTTACTGACTGGAAAGTTTAAAATTCTTGTTTATATAACAGTGAAGTGTTTTTTTTTTCTAGATCTGATCGAATTTTTTAGGGTTTCATTTTGATATTTATATGTTGAAGAAATAAAACCTAAGTTTAATATAAGAATCAGCATGCGTGTTTAATTTCTTATGATGGTACAACTTCAGCGAGTAACCTAGTTTAAACGTTTTGTTTTGGTTCGATCGCTTCTTCTTTCTTTCAGCTTAGGCTTCTTGTTTAACGTTTTATGATATTTTGGGTATTTTACATTTTTTTTAAAGACCAATTTCTTTTGATCCATCTCACAGTGTGCTAGTTTTGAATTTACGACTCAAAGTTTGGTTTAGGACAATAGCAATTTAAAATAACAAAAAAAAACCAACATTTTTACCCTATACTTTTTTATTTAACTGAGTTTTATCATTGACTATAGTTTATATTCTAGGTAAATTTGCCCCCTTCCTTTTTCTTATTTTCATTGTCTTATATGGCATCTCCCCGCACATGTTTGCTTCAGCTTGCTAACGGAAATGTAAAGATCACGCTTTCCCATCATCACAATACTGGAGAAAAATTTACAGAGATGAAAGATCGGCTAAGGAGGCCATTAACCATCTTGCGTTCAGGAAATGGAATTCAATGTGAGGTATGAATTACAAGCTCTTTATTATTTGAATGCATTGGCTATTTGAGACTGGAAGGCATTTTAGTATGGCTTGGATTGTGAAGTTCACCTTAGTTATCGATCTATTCCCAAAAGTTGCTCGTGTGGATGACTAAGCTTTGACATATTGGGTAGAGATTCTATATAGCTATTTTTTTACATGGTATAGGTTGGGATGGATTTATCCTTTGTCTTTACTCAGTTTGAAATTTTAATAGCATCCTTTTTAGATTTGAATCCGATTTAATCAAAATTTGATAATATATAGGACACATTAAGTTAACTCCGTTTATTGACAAAATAATCTTAACATTACACATAATTAACTTACAGAAATAATTAAGAATAAAACTAAAATTGTTTACAATATATAATTTAAAATAAATAATATTAGTATAAATATAATATCATAATATGCAAAATATTATCTATTAAGTCTTGAACTTATATTATTACATATACTTATTTCAAAAAACATATAAAATTTAAAAGAATAAGAAACACTGGTTCAGATTAGGATAACTCAAAATATAATCTGACTAATCTTCAAAATATACTAATCTAATTTTCAAAACCTGAACTTGTCAAATTAACACTGTAACAGGGTTGTATTTGTGGAATGAACTGGATCTGGAACATCCCGAGCTACTTTGATCGTAATTTAATCAATTTATGAATTAAAATAATAATATATGAACAGCTGGTTCATGAAAGGAAAAGTAAAAATGTTGTTAATATTTAAGGAAATATTTGATATGCAAAATATTATTTCGTTGCTAAAAATTATATCTTCTAAAAATCATGTTTTTATGAGAATCATGATTTCTAAGAATGTTATAAATATATTTGGTATGTTTAAAATAATCTCAAAAATATTTTATGAATATAACTAGAGCTTTTTCACTTTTATGAAAATTTTATATTATGACCCTTTCCATAGATATTTTTTTATTGAAAAACACAGTTTTAAAAAAAACTTTTTGAAACTGTCAGGGTTTATTTGATTCCAGAAAATATTATTTATTTAAAAATTTAATTATAAAATAGTCATCTTATTTAATGCAATTATATTGTTATTTTTAAAATTTATACAGAAAGCATTAAAAATAGAAAATAAAATATTATTTTTAGCATTTCCTCTATAATTATTTAAAACTAGTAAATAAAATAAAATAAAATGTCAATTTTTTTGTTAAAAGTGAAAAAGAAACTTTTTTTTTTTATAAATCAAACAACTCCTTAGTTTTCTTTTAATATTCTAATTTTAAAAAAAAAAATTCTACTAAACACCCATAAAAGTATTATGATGTATTTTAAAATTAATTCCAATTTAAATTTTATTTGTTTAAATTCTTAGATGTTATTAGAATCATGTTTCTAATCCTTAGTGAAGGGGACTAAAAACATGTTTTCTTTTTATTAAATATACAGATTAAAAATAAATAGAGAAGAAAATAAAAATATAATTTTAAGGATGAAAAGATATTTTCATCAAAGAAATAAATAAAATTGAAGTATATCATTTTAAAACGACAATGGATAGATTTTATCATCTATATATTTCTCGTACTCAGACCCTTACATACATGGGTAGCAATTTTATTATTTGGATATCTATATATTCAGGTAGGTTCAGATTCATTGCTTATATTTTAGTTAACTTAAATATATTTTGTATTCACAAACTAATAAAATATAATTACCATTATGTACTAATATAAATAAGAATAAATCAATAAAAATTGAATAAAAATAAAAGATTTAAATTAAATGAAAATATTAAAAAATATTATTATTCTTAATTATACGGCATTACAATAAAAAATTTAACCAAATTAAAAAATTATTTTAGAAAATGATCAAATTTTAATTACAAAATATAGATGATGGATTATATAACACGATAATCATGCTTGCAACTGTACTCACATCCGTAAAATTTTCTAGATAATTACTTATATCTATAGCCAAAGACCGATTTGATATGAAAAAATCATGAACTATCGTGAATAGCTTTTAACGGGCACCCATCAGATTTGATACGGATTATCGTTCATCACACGTTTCTCCTCATGACAACAATATTCAGATTTAAGCTTCTAATTTGTTAATTAATTTTTTGTGGGGTTGGCTCAGACTGAATCTTCTCTGCCAAATCTCAAATGTTCAAAAGAAGAGGCGAAAAAATGGAACCCTACTCTTAAGAATGAAGCATCCGATGAGTGTCCTATGATTCACAGCAGGAAGTGTGTTGAAGACGAAAAAATTGTTGGTGACTATGACTCTGTTATGACTACATTGTTAGAAGAACTCCTACGAGCTCAAAGGAGTATCAAAAAACTTAAAGCTGCACAGAAGGCTTCTAAGAAAAGAGTTAAACAATTTTTGCAAAATCTTGAAAAAGAAAAATTATTTTGGAAGCGTAGAGAATGCCAGAGGGTTGAAACAATGTTAAATGACTTAAAGGACAAGTTGGAGAGGGAAAGAAAAAGTAGGGAAAGGATGGAGTTATTGAATACCAAATTGGTACAGGAGCTAGCTAAAGCTAACTTATCTGCCAAGCAATTTATGACAAAGTACAAGAAAGAAAAGAAAGAAAGAGAATTGATAGAGGAAGTGTGTAACGAATTAGCCATGCAAATAGGGGAAGACAAAGCTAAGCTTGAGGGATTAAGTGATTCCATGAAAATTTGTGAGGAATTGGAAGAAGAGAGGAAGATGATGCAAATGGCTGAGCTATGGCGTGAAGAAAGTGTGCAAATGAAGCTAGTTGAAGCACAATGTGTACTTGAAGATAAATATAATCAAATGGTTGAGTTGATTGCTTTTCTTCAAACGTTCTTAAGATCAAAGGGTGCTGAACTAGACACCACAGAATTAGAGGACACTCAGTTGATCAAACAGGATATTGAATCAGTGAATATTCAACGTATTGTTGAGCTTTCATATGATTTCTCAAAGTCAGACAATATAGTTTCCATTTTTGAGGAGCTAAGAAAAGACAATATAGAAGAGGGGGTGAATAAACCAGATTCCCATCTCACTCTTACTAGCCCCTTACCCACAGCCCACATTGAAAGTCTTGATGAAGAAATGTTGAATAAAAACTCAACATTGCATGATAACTCAAGTCCCTCTAGCGATTATAATAAAAACTCCAATGGTGGAACTACGATTTCTTCAACACAATCTTCTCAACATAAAAGGTTTGGTGATGATCGTTATGAACAAAAGGAGTCTACAGGCTCAATAATTCAGAATGGAGGGATTACTTCTTCTCAATGTAAAAGTTCTGTTGAAGGTAGCTTCAAACACTCGGAATTGTTGGGACCAGGAAACTCTACATGTAACATGAACCCACATATACTTCGTGGGATGAAAGGGTGCACAGAATGGCCACGTGGAATACCAAAATCCAATTCCAAAGTCATTCCTTCTGAAAGAAAGAGTGAAAAACAAAAAATCTAGGTTTCTACAAATGCTTAAGCCGAAGACCTGAACAAGGCCAACTTTGTTTGTTTATGAATGAGCTGAGCTTGAATTTGCATATATTTGACTCGTTATAATTTGTGAGTTGGCTTGATTTTATTTTTGGCTGGATTTAATTATTTTTAATTAAATTTACGTGGACAAAAGTAGGTTAAGTTTCAAAATTATTTTGTATTGGATTTCATTCAAATTGAAACAATCAATTATCAATTCTAATCACATGCTTTCTATCCATATAGAGAGAAATTACTGCATAAAGATGAATAAAACCCTTTTGTGTTCTCATACCCAATATAATGATGAAAACTAAATATGAAAGCGCACCTTAGGTTTCTCTTTTTGGGTTTCTCTTCTGAAGAAGATAAAGAGAAAAAAGAACTGTAATTATACATGTTACTTGCTCTACAAATATGGAGCATAACCCTTATATTGGTAACTGTCATTAGTTACCCTAAAATTAATAATTATAATTTAGCTCCTCATCAAATTATAATATCACGAATGATGTCTATATAATTAACCTTTCATGACATATATGTCTTTAGCCATAAACTTATATTAATTATACCACTTTAATATTTTGGCTAATAAAATAATGGCCCTAATACATTATATATATATATATATATATATATATATAACCAAAATTGCTAACATTCCGAACTTGTAAGGCCAAAATTAATCAACTAATTAGATTGGCCAAGAATTACATTGACTAATTTGGATAACTCGTGAGCTTAAATAAGCCATTTTGAGCAAAGAAAATACGTTATATATATATATATCACTTTGGCTCAAGCCACTTCTAATAAGGGCATTTATGATTAATCTAAGTAACCATGGAAGCCAATTGACAACAATTAATAATAATAATAAATAAATAAATAAAAGAGAATAGAAAATAGAGACCTAACTAGTGTTGAGTCAAGTATCGAGTTTTGAAAATCAAACATACAAAGGACCATATTCCAGCCACCAAGATTTCCCAATTTAGTCTGCTGTATACTCAAATCCATCTTGTCCTACTCTAATGTTCTTTGCTTCCTCAGCTCTCCTTTAGTCTTCTCCTATTTTACCATTTGTTGTGTTAAAAAATACCAACAACCCCATGACATGATCCAAATCAATTCTAGATTCTAAAACAATTTACAAAATCAACTTGGACCGGCATATTGATCTATTATGACTCAATCAATTCACTCACATAAGCTAGCACTCGTCATTCTTGTTTTTTTTTTTTTTTTGGGGCAAAAATATTTGTCTTTGAGTGAGAACGAGTAAGAAGACTAGAAACAGAGACTGATATATATAAATCCTGAACCAGTAAAAATTAACTTTTAGGAAGTAGATACAGTATATATAAAGGTTCAGATGTTTTGGTTTGAATGAATAACACATGGAATAATGTGACATTAAAAAGAAGAAGTTATACAAACCAAAGAAACTGAGATTTAGCATCACACTTGCAGACAGCAATAATATCACCCCGGAAATTAATTGGATGGAAATTTCAAATATACCATAAAAACTAGTAAATATTAGGCAATAAATAATGATGAAAAAATACCAAACAAAATGTGAGATGTACATGACGTGCATGGACAATAAATAACGGGCACAAAGTTGGTGTAGTCATGTTAATGTAATTTTTAAAAAAAGAATAGGTAAATTGAATTCCAAAAAGTTACTAAAGTTAGAACATATCTCAGAGCATTTGTAAATATATTTTTGGAATAGTTCATCAACAAAATCCTCACATTATTATTTGAATTTATGAAACACGAATTCAGCCGTTGCTAAGTTAACTAATCTTTGTTGGTCACATCAATATAATTTTAAAAAATAACAGTTACAAATATTTAAAAATAAAAATAGATAATAAAATGTAAAAAAAATAGTGAACTTTTTAGACAAATACTAACTAATATTTAAGAATATCAATAAAGCTATCGAATTCTACAAAAATCACATAAAATGAAGTAAAAGAAAAAACAACGAACAAGTGTGCATTTAATAAATTTTAGGCAGAGAGATTTTATACACAACCTTAACCAATCTGACACAACTACAGGTTGGTTTGGATTCAGTGGTCAGGTGTGTATTTAATTAAAATTCTTGTGAAGTATTGAATTTAACAAGCATTAAAATAAATTTAAAAAAATTATCAATTTTATAATCATTATTTATATTTAAATAGTAAATTATTCATAAAAATCACATTTGAAAAATATAATAAGATTTAAAACACATTAAACTATAAATATTATACAATATGTCAACAAGAGACTCAATCCCAAAACTAAAACCCATTGAGTTGCAAAATATAAACATATAACGGATTGTGAAATGGAAAACCTAATATGTAAACCGAAAAATGATAAGTTTCTTGTTTTAAAATTTAATTATAGTTAATTACCTGAGCCAACTCATGTATTATAATTTAGTTTGAGTGTAACTAGTCATGATATTGATATACCGCTTAAAAAGTACTTTTAGATACATTAATTTTATATAAAATGATATTTTTATCTATAATAGTTATTGGTCGATGGAAGAAAATTTTATAAAAAATTGTTTTATTTGATTAAAAAATAATTTTTATAAATAATAATAGTGATAAAACCAAATATTTCTATCTTTTAAATTCTTTTAATTAAATTTAATAAATTTTTATTAATTATTAGTACAAAGTAAAAACACATAATATAAATCAATCCTATTATAGAGACAAATGTTACATAATCTATTTTTATAATAAATTACTAGTTGGAATATCTATGTCATGCCTGGATTTTTTTTATTTTTAATAATTATAAAGATATAATTAAAAGGAATATACATATTTTAATTAAAAATACATATTAAAATTATCACATTTTACTCTAAATAACTTATAATATTCAAAGTAGTGTAACATGGTTGTCGTGTATTTAATTATTTTGTCTATGTAAGGAATATTTATAGTCAGTTTAAGGTAGAAAATGCATTCTACTATTGATAACATCTTTCATATTAGTGTCATGACTTTTAAAACTATCTGTTATCTTTCTAAAAGTTTTAATTTTACAATCATGACATAAGATCCTTGAAGAACAGAGAAAAATATCTTTTCAAATACTATAAAAAAAAATATATCTTTTCAAATACTATAAAAGAATATATATCTTTTCAATAACTATAAAGTGTACTTTACACTTGTCTGCTTTTAAAAAATTCATTTGTATTAGAAATGTATCAGATCAAGATTAATTGTTCTTTTTCACTTTAATAAAAAATTCAAATTAAAATTTTAATTTTAGTTTTTTCATATTGATTTAAATTTAAATTTGAAACTTAAATTTTAACTTTTCTCCCACGTAATTTAAATTCAAAATTTTAAATTTTCTCTCATTTTAATTAATTAATTTTTAATTTTTAAATTTTAACCTTTGGTCAAAATGAAAATAAAAATATAATTTTAATTCAAACTTCAATCAATCAATGTGAGAAAGAAAGTAAAAATTAAATCATAATTTAAAATTTTTCTTAAAATAGAAAAATATTTAAATTTTAAATTTAAATTTGAACCATCTCAAGAGAAAAACTAAAATGTGCAGAATAAGATAAAGATGAGTAAACCCAGGTGTCAATAAAATGTGTCACATATCTTTTTAGTTCAATATGTTTCGAACACTATTAAATTCACTTATTTTTATAATTAATTTTTAAAATTGTATTATTGCAATAAAAAAGAGAAATGTTGTTTAGTACAAAAAAAATAAATTGACGAAACATACAAATAGTTACCTGTAATTTCAGTCAAACAGTAGATATTACATTTTTATTTATTTAACTCACATTTAACCAATAAAATTCATCCAAATGTATTTTATAAATCCGTACTAAATTTTGTGGTACTAAATAGCAATGCTCATAAAAAAAAGCCATATAACGGGCCATCCATATATAAAAGCTAAATTATAATCGAACAAAAGTGTGTATAAATTAAACAAAATGACAAGAAAAAAATGTAAAATAAGTAAAAAAAAAAAAAGGTGACATCAATTCATTCTTTTACGTTGTTATACGCAAGATTCACTTTGTTTAAGTTCAGATTATCATGACTATAAAAATCACACACTCTCCACCTCTACAAGAAAATACAAGCTGAAAAAACATGGAATTTTTTATTTTTTTAAAAAGAAAAAAGCTGGGTTGCTTAAGTAGTTGGATTTTGTACAAGTACAAACCAAAACCTTTCCGAAAATGTTCATTGTTCAGTACACCATCACCACCTTCGATCGATCTCATCAATTAATTAATTAACCTCGGGAATACTACGTAGCACAGGCCTCCACGTCCTATGATAGCCATCATGTACATGGTGCTCGTTATTCACGTAGTCTCTGGCCTTCATCAAGCGAACCAGAACTTGTTCTGCAGAAGAACCATGTCCTGCACCTACTTCCTCAATCTCTCTACCACCCAACAACTCCACCAGCTCCTTCTTTGAGATCTTAATCTTCACTTTCCCATTGGCATCGGTAGAAGCTTTCAGCGCACCCGAAAGCCTCTCCTTCTCTACGTTCCCCAAACTCAACCCATCAACTTCATCAAACACCTTTGAACTGATCTTTCTCTTATGCTTAGACGACAAAGAACCCCAATCATCACCACCCCAATCCATTGACGACACCGTCTTGCAACAATTTCCCATATAGTAATATATAAATGAATGAATTTATATGTGTTGCGAAAGATGGCTGCTAATGTATCCTTAGTGTAGGTTGAAGTTAGTGAAAATGGAACAATGAAGAGATTTATGAGTGGTGAGACTTGGGAGATTTATAAGGGTGTAGCAAGAGAAGAGGGTAGTACATAATAGGGAAATTGATTTTTGGTTCTGAATTTTGAATTGGATCAATTCTTAACCCATGTGACAGCTAGATCTAGTCTTTCATATCTACAATGTTTGTGGCAACTGGAGATCATATACTTTATTGACCAAATGGTATGATTTTAGCTATGCATGTGCCGTGTAGGAACCAGATAAAGGATTTATTACATGATTTGGCCCCAAAGAGGTGTGAAATGGGAACAGCATCGCCAGGATAGTGCGGAACGTGCATATACAATTTGTTTTTTTGGTCTTGATCACGCAATCTGCCATTGGAATCTTGAAGTTTGGCTATTACTAGGCTTGTGGACCTTGGCGTGTGGGCTTAGAGTTCATTTAGTTAATTTATGGATGAAAATTTATTTTTTGCACCTTTTAATATAAATTGATAAATTTTCATGATTAAATTTAATTGAATATTTATTTTAATTATATTTAATAATTTAATGAATATTTTTATATAAAATGATTATAAAAAATTATAATTTTAAAATAAATATAATTATATTTGATTATATTTCATTTTATTTAAAATAATAAAAAAAAAATTAAGAATAACTCCACTCCTTCTTCGTTAATGGATCTTGTTGTGGGTGAAATAATTTGAGGATATTTTTAAACACCGAAGAGTTGTTCAATAATGTTTTCGTTGGTAATTAAAATACAAGTCTTTGGGGAAAAAAAAAAAACATGTTGGGATCAAACCAAGAGAAGAAACGACCACCACGCATCAATATTCTAGAACGAAAATTATAATGCCCATAGGAAGATATATCTAGATTCAACTTTGCTGACATACCAACATTAAACCAAAAAAAAAAAAAAAAAAAGTATATTTGTTGACCTATGTTTAAGTATATAATAAAAATTAATAAATAATTATAAAAAGTGTCTTCATTTAATATTATTAATGTATTAAATTCTATAGCTTTTAATAAATATTATTATATATTTTATTATATACAATTAATCATATATTTAAAAAATAAAAAAATACCGACATATGCGGTGTTTATAAGTAAAGGCAGAACAGTGACCTAGCTCTGCTGTAGAGCACTGTGGTCGGTTGGAGGTTAAACGCATGCATTCGGTCTTAAACGTAATGAACAGTGTATTTGATGCTGCTTAGAAACATGAATGTTCTTCATCTCGTTATCCATCATTACCTGGAAAAAAACAAATCATCTACGACATTATATGATAATCATACGAATCCTCGATGCCTTGAGATTCAGATAGAAAAAAGCACCGACTCAGGGAATTTAATTTTTTTCTTTGACCATTATGTTTTGTTTCTCTGCATCTGCATCTGCATGCACCCAAGGTAGTTAGCAGAAAGAAATTTCATGAGATAACGCAATCTATTTATGAAGAATAATTTCCTAATTACGTCGGCCATTTGTTAATCTATGTCTGTATAATATATAAAATGAATTGATATACTTATTATTTTTATTATTCAGACTTTAATTTAAAATATAAGATTTTTTATTTAATAATGATTCAAAATAAATTTTATTAACTAAGAAAATACTTCTTTTAAAAGGTTACTCTATTATTATATTAAATCGTGTATTATATTAGTACTCCTTATTGTACTAATGTCATGTTTGATATTAAAAGTTTTGAATAATTTTTTTTCATTCATTTTAATAAGACGATGCTAATAGAAAGATTTTATAATATTTTAAACATTTAAATACAAATGTTAAACTTTAAACTATAAAAATCATGCCACTTTTGTTTCTATTTATCTATTGAGAAATAATTTGAACCGCCTTATTCACTTATGTTAATGATACTTGTCAAATGAATTTAAATATATGAAAAATAAAAATGTTAATATAGATATGTAATAAAGTATTTATATTAATTTTTATAAACTAAAAAATTTATTTCAAAATATATTTATTTATAATTTATATGGTGTTGATTTTTCTTTCGTGGTCAAATTTCCCTTATCAAGACTTTTAAATCTTCATATTTTAATCAAATTTTTCATCTCCAATAATTATTATGTGTATACTTACTTTTTTTTATCTTCTTCTAATTTATTAAAAATGTCGATTTTGTTCTATTCTTGAATTGGAAAAGTATGCCCATTTAACTAGTGAAGAGAGTTAGTAATACATTTTGACATTTTTTTTTTCAATTGGATAAATATATTTTTAAATATATCATAAGTCAAACTCAATAAATAAAAAATAAAACCCATATAAAATTTTCATAATTTTAATTAATAATAAAAGTGTGTTTCAAACGTCATCAAACACATTTTTCGATGGTCAATTGCCCACAAATCCAAACAACCATCCCACACTAATCTAATTTCAACCTATAATGTGTGAAATCATCCACTGTTTTATCTGACTGATTTCCCTTTGCCTCCGTCACAGTTATCAGGATATCGACTAGAAGCAACATAATATTATATGGATTGACATATATGTTCTATCCATTTATACAAAAAGTTAAGAGTCCATCAAAATTTAACGTAACTCGACTATTGTATATGGAAATTCTTAAGTTCAAGCTACACTATAGATCCCAAAAACACAAGCCCCATGTCTCAAACAACCAACCCTTCCGAATTTCATAATCAGTTTATTCTCATGTCCTATTCCCTTTGCTTTTCATTTGATTAATTTTCTAATAAAATTTGATCCAAAAATTGACCAACCACATGAACTCATTAATTTTTGATTGAGTTGGTTTGAGATTCGTAAAACAATTTGTAAAACTCGACCAAAACCATTGCATTTAATTTATTTAGACTCGACTATTTTTCTAAAACAAACCCAACGCCCCTATATACCCACCATCTTACCAAGGGCGCTGATCTTTTCTTTAACATGCATATCTTTAAAATAAATAATAGAAACATACAACTCCCAGTGGGGTGATTTAAACAGCGTGTAAGTGAACTTTATGAGCAGAACAATCCAAAAATTCTATATTTTTTTATTAGGACTTTTAACTTTTCTTTTCTTGTAAACTTAGTAATGAATCTAATATAGAGTGCCAATGGTCCATTAAACGATATAATTTTGAAAAAAACAAAACAAAACAAAAAACCCGTACCGCAAAATTGTTAATAAATTTTCTACCAACACCTGTGTAAATTAATATAGCTAGTCTCAAATGTGTTTCTTTTGAAGATTGAGCTAGCAACCCATTATTTTAACGCGTTTTAGTAAATATGTTTTTATTATTAATTAAAATTTATTAAAAATTATATAAATCACTTCTCTCTTACTTTTTTTTTTTTTCAAATCAATATTTCTCTTTTGTATTTTTTTTAATTTTCAATAAATTTTATCTAATAGTAAAAAAAATGTATTGCTAGCTTTCTTTGTAGATATAAAGTGCAGGTTTGATCAGCTGGGGTATTCAGGCATTAAGAAATTACATACTCGTAAGCACAAATCAATAGCTAACACTTCGGGTAGTATTATTACGTCAAATTTTACTTTATAATTTGTCAATTAAGAAAGCAGGGAGTAGAGCGCTCTTTAAGATATATTTAAAAAATTATTATTTTAAAACTATTCTTAAAAAAAAAAATTAGAGAATGATTCTTTATTAATTATTTTCTAAAGTTATATTCTAAAATTATTTATAAAGAGTTGTTATATACTAATCACTTTTTAAAGTTATTGTTGAAGAGCATTTATGTGTTAATCGTTCTTCTATATTAAAATTTTAAAATGTTTAAAAAATTTTATTTTATAAATGAAACAAGTTCAACTTACACCTATGAATCTTTTTATTTTTTTTGGTTGATAAAGTTAGTTTTCTTTTTGTTTGTAAATTCTTTTTGTTTTTTCTATGATAATAAAGTTTGTGTTTTTTATAGTTTTGTTTATTCTTTTTTTCTTTTCTTTTTTCTCTATTAACAATTAAATTTTTTATTCATTTTTTTCTCTATTTATTAATATTTAGTTCATGCAGATATAGATTATTTTGTTAACATAACATACGAACTTGAATTTTAACGTACAAGGCAACAAATTAATTTTAATTTAATTTATAATAAAAATAAAGAAATTTCGAATGTCAAACATATCAATTCAATTTTAAACATAATAATAAATTAATTTGATTTGTAATAGAAATTTTATAAAAAAAATACAAATTTTAGATTCATAGTTTATACACATACTTTATAAACAATTACATAAATCGTTAATATTTATTTTGAATAATAATACTTATTAAAGCGATTTGAATCACTTTCTAAAATAATGCGAAATTTTGTAGTGTGTAAATCTCTTACCATACTCTTAAAATATTTTAGAATTCTTATCATACCAAAAAATCATAGGGACCCTAATGATTAGAAATGAAAGAGTAAAATATTTAAAAAAAACATACACACACATACACACAATGTTTAACAGTTAATTGAAAATTAATGTAATAATGCATACATTTACCATAATTTTTAATATATATATATATATATATATATATATATATATTATGAGAAAGAGATCTTTTTATATATTTTTTCCATCTATTACTTTAAATTTATAATTTTTATTTTATTTCTTGTATTATTTATTATAATTTTTTTTATCACATACATTTGACATCTAAAATAAGATATCAGTGAATTATTTCCCAAACAAAAAACTTGCAGGATTGTTGTATGATGCAAGAATACTTCCCGCTCCAAATGGTTAGCAAACCATCAACAATTACTAATATATTACATTTTTTAAATATCAAATCATAGCTGTGCTAAGTATAAAAAAATATACATTACCTTTTTTACTTTTTTTTTTCTTTCTATCTGTTACTTTCCTTTACTCATTTAACACCCATTTAATGAATATCAAGGTATATTATTATTATTACCAAAATATATGTTTCCATCTCATTAGCTAAACGTTAAATTATAAAACTAAAATATAACAGGAACTGGATGAGAATCATGCATGCGCGTTCTTGATATATAGGTTTCGTCACTTTTTCATGCATAAGAATTTGTATTGTAAAGTAATTAAAAAAAAATAAAAAATCTGATCGAACCAACCAAAGGGATTACACCCCGTGCAGTATTTTGCGGGACACTAGATGATCCTATTCCAACAAAATTCATTTTTTTTTTTAAAAGACTTTTAGGTGATTACGGGCATCTTCTACTAAGTAGAATAAATTTATACTAATTAATTAACGTGTTTAGTGATTTTCTTTTTGAAAAATTTTATTCTTGGTCTGAAATTCGAGATCGTTAAGTGTTTTTAAGCCCAAAAAACGCAAAATTATTTGTCACTCTCAGTTCGTGACTGTTGTAAGAAAATTTTGCAGATGATGAAGTTTAAACATAGGAATTATTGCTAAATAAATTAGCACACGTGTGAACACAATAAAACTTTAGATTGTACCAACCGTTCATGTTCCATTTTGGAAGATTTAATTTATCTAAAATAAACTCACAGTACACAATAGAGTAAAAAGATATAATTATTAATTAAACTCCTTTCTTTTCATATTCTCTCTGATCATTTTATCCAATCTTTTCTCAAGATTACAGTTTTTAGAACAAGTTAATTTTTCTTTTTTGGGTATAGCTGATCGATCAAGCCAGGGTACTACGTCTTTCTTTCTGGCATTCCACAATCTCTAACTCCTTTAAGAGAGAAGAATAAAAACACGCAATAAAGATAAAAAGGGTGAGACAAGCACGGCTAACTTGGCCTAGAATCTACCTATAAGAATCCAATGACCCGCTAAACACTCCGTATATGCGTGTATACAGGCTAGCAAAGGACTTAGTTAAATTAAAATATCACTTACCATATGGTGTTTTTCTAAAGTGAATCTCACCTTTAGTTCCTTTGTCTTTTCATATTCTTTCTGTTTTTCTTAGGCATGCGAGTAATTGACGAACGTTGCTGTTGATTGTTTCGTTCTTTTCCTTTTGACCCTATCCTCTTTTTTTACCGTTGATAGAAAATAACAGAGACAGAAGACAATTACAATTCCTTCAATTGTCAATACAAATTCTGCATATTCTTAAGCTGCTAACCATGAAAACAATCCATTTTATTTTACACAACTTCTAATCTCTGGATTAATATTGTAACGCAGTCTTTTCTCTTTAAAATTAAATATTTTTATCCAATCTTTTTTTAATAAATCTTTAAATTAGTCTTCAAGAACGTACAGATCAAATATTTTAATTTTTGGATATTAAAATACCTAATTAGTTTTTGACTTTGCAAAATAACATATATTTTATTTTTCTTAATGTTAAATGACAATAAAAAATAGAATAACCTAAAATTAATTTTTATAAAGTTAAAAATTAATATCATCATAGCTTAGGTATCCAAATAATGCAATCTCAAGTATTAACTACTAATAGTTAAATAAGTATTGCATCTATTGATGTAAATCTGTTGATGATGGTTTGTTATATTAAGTGTTAGTTTATTTAGTTTAACCTTTCTTTTTTGGTTTTCTGTTATTGTTAGTTAGTTTCAGCTGCTCATGTGTATCAGTGTATATATATAAATATCTTCCTTTATATTAAGAGATGCAATATACAGTTTGTTTCCTATCATTCATAATTCATTCTTTCTATTACATTGCTGATATACTTACTGCAATCTTTTTTCTCAACACCAAGATTTTCGGGACAAGTTTGCTTTTTGGGTCATGTAATAACTGGGATATTTACTCCAATCTTTTCTCAATATCTCGTTTTTGGGGTTTACTCTTAGGATAGAGCTGATCGATCAAGCCAGGGTACCACTGCTTTCTTTTTCGTATTCAACCTTTAAGCAAAGAATAAAATCCCACAATAAAGATAAAGAGGTGAGAAGCACTGTTAAGTTGGCCTATAATCTAGTATATAATTTTAAGAATCCAATGACCCTCTAAACAATCTGTTTGTATATATATATATATATGTGTGTGTGTGTACTAGATAGCAAAGTACTTACTTAAATTAAAAGATCACATATAGTGTGTTGAGTGTCGGAGTGAGTAGCAAGTGAGAGAGACATGGGGAAGAAAATAGAGATAGTAGAGACTAGCTTCACAGCGTTTGATAGGAAAATGGAAAAGCCTCAACATGCTGTATTGAAGGAAGATTGGAAAGCCTTCAAGAAATTCTTCGAGCAAGACAACAAAGCATTGTTGGAGCCTATGGACTTGGACAAGAACACCGCTATTCACGTGGCCACACGCTCCGACAAACCGCAATTACTGGCAGAGTTGCTGGACATGCTGCCCATAACCGACAGGTGGCATGCACTGAGGCGGAAGAACGTTCACCGAAACAACGTTCTTCACCACGCCGTTAATTTCACGGACAACGTTGGAATATTGGACATGATACTCAAGTACGAGAATGAGGTGCCGCCACCACCGGGTGATCAGATTGATGAGTCAGAAGAAAACGGAACGCCGTTGCTTGAGATGAAAAATGATTTAGGTGAAACCCCCCTTTACAGGGCTGCTAATGCTGGCAACCTAAAGATGCTCCAGCACATGGCCAAATGTGTTGAGGATATTCAGGTGCATTTTGTCAGAGGCGACAAACTTCCCATTCTTCACATTGCTATTGTTGGTCGACACTTAGGTACCTCTCTATGTGTGTTCACTTTTTATCCCTATATTTTACTTTAAATGTTGCTGAAATTTATTAGTACTCATATGATACATTAAAAGTTGTTTTAGTAACTGGTAAAAGTAGGGTGTTCATGTCTACCGCAAACCCAACTCGTCAGAAATTGAACGGATTAATTCACGAAAACGGGTATGATTAAGTGTACGTTTCACGTAAGCTCATAAATTTAAGTTTAAAGACGTAAATATAAATTTAAAATTAATAAATTCTGTGTTACCTTTAAAAATTTTGCATATCTCTTGAATATTCTATTATTTATATTTGTGTGTAATGTTATTTTTTTTATTATTGTTTCTTAATTATTATTATTCATAAAAATTCTTTCGTTAAAATCATATAAATCAATTAAAAAAACATTAGATTCGTATTATGATCACAATAATTCAAAAATAACTTTTAATCAAAGTCTAAAATTCTCTGATTAAAAACTGTTAAAATCATCACTTATATATTTAATGAACAGAAAGATTTTAAATTAATAATATTTAGACACACAATTAAATAATAATTTTATTTAATAATAAATTATATATAATAATATATATTTTGTATAACTTACTACATGTTTCTTTTTTATTTGTATAATTATTTAAATATGATACTCATAAAAGAATTTTGAATATCACAGCACACACCTTTAAAATTTGTACAAATGTTTTTTATAATTTTATAATATAATTTATTTTGGTTTTAAATTTGTGGTTAAGTAAATACAGTAGATTATAACTTTTGTATTAAATTTAAAAACTTATACTATATTTTTTTACAAGCTTATTTTTAAACAGTTTTATAAAATTAAGTTGGTCTAAACTTCATTTTAGAGATCTTCACTCAAAAATAGTAAACACCCTTCAGTGAAATTAAGTTGTCTTACATTTCTAAAAATAAATAAATAAATGGGATCAACGGTGTTAGTATTGCTCTACATTATAAAGTTATACATTTTAATTTTGGTTATTGAACATTATTTTTTATTTTCCGGCGCAGATGTAGCCGTTTGGTTAATGAAAGTGGATGAAAGACTCGCTGATGCAAAGGACCAAAGGGGATTGACAGGTCTTCAACTGTTATCCAACATGCCCTTTATTTTCAGGAGCTGTTGCCGCCTGGGAAACGCAAAGTCTATCGCATACTCTTGTATTTTTCTACCCCCCGTACTTCACGTTTTGTTTAATTATTAACTTTATTTTATACTACTTACGACTAAAAATTGTTCTTCGTTAGATTTCTTATCTACTGATATTTCTTACATTTTACACACGATATATATGAAACGACTTGATAATTAATGTGAGAGTGAGATCTTTAATGGCAAGATCTATAACTTGATTAGTCTATTTGGCTCCAATTAATGAACGACAGTGCTTCCTGATGAATATTATGAGTTTGAAGATTATGCTGAAAGCGTCAGGGTCATCAGAAGTGAGAGCGATTTAGAAAGTGGAAAAGATAAAAAGCTACCAACCTCAGGTACTTTATGGGGAAGTACAAATGCAAATTTTTAAGGTATACATGTAACATTTAACATGTAGAGTGTAGATATGAATATCAAATTCCTAATGAAGCAAATATCACAAAATTGCAGGATTTTCCAGAATCAATCATGCAGTCTGGAAACGTCTTGCAAAAGGTACAAAACAGTTAATATACTTCTCTTTTCACTTATTGGATGCGTGAGTAGCTAGAACCTTAGTGTGCTAATTAATTAATCGGTTAACATGTGTATAAATATGTACCGCCTGAAATTTTTATTAAAATAACAAGATGTCACTTCAAATACTATAATTTAATAAAATTTATTATTTTTTAATTTCTTAACAGGAATCACGTTAAAAAAAGTTGTTAAGCTTCTTTAACGTTAATTACATGCAGAATGGGATGCGGTTGATCGTCTTTGGCAGTTAAAAAGGCAGCACAAGCTAGCTGAGTATCTAGCTGACTTGTTAGTGCAGAAAGATTACTCATGGCATAAAACTTGTAATGAGAAACAGCGAACAGTGTCAGTATTGCCAATTATTAAGCCCATAAATGTGACTGCAAGGACGAAACGGGTGAATGAACTGAAAGAGACGCAATCTACGCAGCAAAGCAGGCGTACTTACAGCGACTACACACCGCTGTTGTTGGCAGCAGAGGCAGGAATCGTAGAAATCGTTGAAAAAATCATTAACATGTTTCCCGAAGCTATAAATCATGTTAGTGAGGATGAGCTGAACATACTGCATGTAGCTGTGAGAAACCGTCAATTGAAAATTTTTAAGCTTATAAGGAAATATGGTGCATTGAGATGGTTGGGTGATCGCATAAGTAATAAAGGTCGCACTCTCTTGCACCAAGTGGCTAGGATGGAATACTACAAAGGAAGTGATCAAGCAGGCTATGCATATGAACTCCAAGATGAGTTGCGATGGTTCGAAGTAAGCACTCACCCTTTTAAATTTAAATTTCTCAGCATATTGCCGAGTTATTGAAATCTTATAAAAACATACTTATTACCCAGACAAAACAATTTCCATTGAAGGCTACTTTTTTTCATCTTATCATCGCATTATACTTCTAGAATAATTTTTAACTCGTTTTTAAGAAAGAGATAAAAATAGAAATCAAGAGAAATCAAAGAAGGTAAAAACTGTGGAATAATCATCATGTTCATTCCAGTTTTGGGTGCAGAAGGAAAAGAAGAAAAAGATAAAAACAATAAATGTAATTAATGATGTAGAAAGGGAAAAAAAAAAAAAAAAAGAGATCCACGATTTCATACGATAATAAAGATATAAAAAAAATAAAGTAGAAAGAGGTTAAAAAAAAGGTGAAAATTATGTACTATTATGCAAATACTATTAATTATAAATTAAAATTAGTTTAATTTTACTAAAATATTTGTATATAATACTATCGTAAATTACTAATATAAAATTTTAAATTTGATTAATATACATGTTAACAACACCTAAAGAATTGTAACCAAGTTTTTTTCATAAAAATACGGTACGTGTATAGATATGTTGATTCTTCTGTTACAAGTAAAAGAGAAAATATTAATGGCTACTGGATATCATAAAAAAGAAAATGTAGGAACGGGAGGACAGATTCAAGTGCAAAGTTGATAGGTAACACGCTTTTACGTCATTATTAATTCACTTAAAAAACACGCCCTTAACAGTTTGCTACCATATATTTGTATGCGCAGCGAGTGAAGAAGCTAATTCCAGCTCACCTAATGATGCATTGTAACGAGGATAACCTAACAGCAAAAGAGCAATTTGAGATAGAGCATGCTGACATGTTGAAGGACGCACAAGATTGGATAAAGGAGACAGCTCAATCATGCTCTGCAGTTGCAGTGTTGGTGGCCACCGTAGTGTTTGCAGCAGCCTATACAATCCCAGGAGGAACGGACGCAAGAGGCATCCCCATATTTCTTCACTCTCCAGTTTTCCTCTTTTTCACTATCATGGATGTTGTGGCCCTTGCAAGCTCACTTGCTTCAGTTGTGATGTTCCTTTCAATCCTCACATCCCCATTTGAGATGTGGGAATTCTACAAGTCTCTCCCTCGAAAACTCACCCTTGGATTCACATTGTTGTTCTTCTCATTGACCACTACTATGCTATCCTTCAGTGCAACCATTTTGCTCACAATTCGCTTGGAGTCTGACAAATGGAGTTCGAGTTTGATATATAGTGCAGCCTTTTTTCCTGTCTCAATATTCGGGTTGTTGCAGTTCCCCTTTTATATTGCAATCAAAGACAAGCTAATGCTGTTTTTGAAGAAATTTAAGAAGATGATTCCGAGGTCGGGTGCAAAAGCAAAGAAAAGAAAGTATCGTGTCTTCGAGCGTTGAAGCTTCTCCTTCTACCTTTGTGGGGTTGATTTTTTGTATTTTGTGTGTACTGTTTTGATACTCTTTGCTTTGTGCGTGTTTGGTCAGCTAGGTCGTCCATCATAAAATTGAATTATTTTTAAAACCAAAAATTTCATGCCGTTTTCACACCAATATAATGATGTTCTACTGGTTAATTAATAAAGTTTATCAATTCAACAATGAACCATTAACATAATGATACGAATTGATACTATTGTATGAAAGTAATTTTATATCTTCGAACAATATCTTTTTACTAATTTTTTAATACTTTGTATAAAATTTGATCTAAAGAAAGAGTAAATGTATTTAACATGTTAAAACTATCTATCTATCTATATATTTTATTCATTTATAAATAGGATTATTGTTTTAAAAAAATTTAAATTATCTCTATCATATTAGCTATTATAGTAAAATTATCAAGAGAAAACTATTCGTTTAGTTCATTCCTTATTTATTTACATTAACCATTAAAGACTAATTAAAGAAATAAAATAAATATTATTTAATAAAAATATTGTATTAAAAATATAAAAATATTTTTTCCAATAATTAAAAATGTTTTATAAGATGTATCAATTAGTTTTGATTATTTTTTTAATTCGTTAATATGATCCTATCTTAACAATATTAGTATTTTTATTCAGTAGTGGTTAGGGGCCATGAGCTGCCTCCTTTTCCTGTTCTGTAGCCTCGCAAACGTGGTCTGCATCTGTACTGTGATGTACGTTTAGTTTTAACTTATCATAATTATTCAAAATCCCTATCTTCAAAATCTTTACAATATTTAGTTGCAAGCTACACACGCATGTACAAAGAATATTACGTTATTCAAAATTAGTATATTGGATGAGACAAGTATTCCAAATGAGTATCACCTTAACATAAAACTTAATTTTAGTTTAATTTTTATAATTGTAATTAAATTATTTACTTTAAGGGGTAGATCAAATGATGATAAATTCGTTAGTTGATGAAACCCTTTAATACACACAGTTTACTTGTTTGTTTATTAATTAATTGTTGAATTGTCATTAGTAATTATCATTTTTTTCAAGAATTTTTAGCTCATAACAATTCATATTATTAATTCGGTAATTATTTAAATAAATTAAAATAATTTCATTATACTGAGCTTCAGAAAAAGCTTACTTGAAAAATATATATAAATGAGAAGTTATTTTAATTCTGTATAAATTTTCTTAAATGTCCTTTAACTACTATAAAAAGGATGATATGTAAAATATTTTTCATTAAAACTAACTAATAATCATGCTATCCTGTATTTATAAATGTTCCAGAAAATTAAATAAAAATTTAAAATTTAAAATAAAATAAAATTTGTATACTTTTAAAAATAAAGAGACTTAGTTAGTTTTTAAAAAATAAAAGATCAAAACCACACATAAACTAAATTAAAAAATACAATTAAATTTTACATTTATATTGAACATGTTTCAAAGAATGAACATATTATTTAATTTTATATTAAAACATCTTAAATTTTAAAATGAAATATTGATTTTTTAAATATTTCCATTTTATATTTCCTAACATTTGCTGAGTAAAATTCACAGTTGAAAAGGATCAAATGAGAATATACGCTTGCGTCTAATCCACACGTGACTGGTCCACCAAAATTAGGTGTCACCTTCCAATCACTCGGTCTCAGGGTTAGGTGAGCTCTTGAATTGGATGAAGGGTACCCCTTACTCAAACGCATAACAGTTGAAGAGATTATCTCAAAATTTATTTCATATAAAATCAAATTTGATAAACACATTTCAAAGCTTTTAAGTCATTGAGTTTATATTGCATAATGTACAATTATAATATATTAATAAAATTATTGTGCATTATAAGGATATTATTAAATTAAAATAAGTTTTATTTGTAAAGAAATAATTATTTATCATCAATAATAATTTTGTTATATTAATTATGAAGAAACTAAAAAAATTAGAATGAATTATAAAAAAATAATTACTTTAATTTTATAAAATATATTAAATATATAAAAATGTATAATTGCAGAGGATAACCCTATCTCATTTTTAACAAGTTACCATCCATTAAATTTAATGTGTTCAGTCTTCTTTCAAGCTGATTTGTATTTCATTTATTTACTTCCAACAAAAGTTTCATTTTTCTCTATTTTGGTTTTACATTGAAGTTAAATTATTCTGCTTGATACTTGCTGTTTTCCCATGTTATGCACGTGTGGCTTTTTAAGTTTCTAACAAATGGTATATATTATTTTAAAATGTTAAATATAACACATAATATCATCGATTAATTTTTCAAAATACATATTGATTAAAAATTTAAATAAATCCATCGGTTTGACCGAAAAAACATAATTATCTAATCAGGTAACCCTTTCAGACAACATATAAAACTGGATGACTAAAGAATTGGTTCAAAGTCAAGGAAAATTGATGAAGAACCCACCATGGAAAAATGATTTGAAACAGTCTTTAATTAAACATTTAAAAAAAACAATTAAATAAAAGAGAATATTAAGTTATAAAGGTCCACATATATATGCTATTATTCAATTTCTTATCACATTAACTTTATTTTATAAAATGCGTAATTTAGTCTTATAAAAAACTTTAAATTTTTACTTAACTTGTTTTTTACAATTTATTGGTGATCTATTAAATAATATGTTATAATTTTTATATAATTATCAACAATTTTACTACAACTTACAGTCTGATAACGTATTCAATTTTAAAAACATTACTAATATGGATAGTAGAAAGTATATAATCTTTAAATTATACACATTAACACAAAAGGTATGCATTTTATTTGGTTATCAAGAATGATTGTGCAATATAGAGCCAATATGACGAAAGTTCAAACCTCTAACAAATCATATGCTTTTTCTTTTCTAAAATAAGTGATTAATTTTGATAAAATTATTTAATCAAATATAGATTGTGAAGGAAAAAAAATACCGATTAATCTCTTAAAATTTTAAATATAAGATACTTAAAATTTTCATTCATTTTTGATAATTTTTTATAGAATAAATTGAATCACTAATATTTAAAAATAAATTAACACGTATTATTTTTTAAGGATTAATTGTTTATTAAACAAAATAAAATACTCTTCAGGTTGAGTGGTTATTTTTTTCAAGAATAAATTTATGTATTTATTTATTTATAATAGAAAAAGACACACTGGGAGATTTCGCCTTTGTAATGACAGTGTAGTTATAACAAGCTAGCAAAGCGGCGGATTGGGATATTCTGGTTGATTTGGAGGACTTTTAAGGTGCTCTTTTCAAACCTACTTCTCCGCTGTTTGGAACAACCATTTTCATTTCATTTTCGTTTCTAGATTCACGCTCCCATTCCCACCTCACTCATTCACTCACACACAATGGCACCTTCACTCGTACCTAACGGGACCCTCACCACCGCTCCAGTCACCGGTAGATTCGCCTCCGTCTACAGTGAGGTCCAAAACAGCCGCGTCAACCACGCGCTCCCTCTTCCCTCTGTTCTCAAAAGTCCCTTCACCATTGTCGACGGTCCCCAAAGCTCCGCTGCCGGAAACCCAGGTCATTATCCTTCACTCATTTCGATCTGTTTCTCTCTGTTACTGTCTCTCATTCTCAATGTGCGTCCGCGCGTGCAGATGAGATCGCGAAGCTGTTTCCGCATTTGTTCGGACAACCTTCCGCAGCATTGGTGCCTAGCGATTCACACGTGGCGCAGCCGCATCGCACGTTGAAGATCGGCGTGGTTCTCTCTGGAGGCCAGGCTCCTGGCGGCCACAATGTCATTTCTGGAATCTTCGGTAACGCTCGATTTCAATCCAATTCAATGAAACAGTTTTCTCTTCTTCTTTTGGTACTTAACATTGGTCACATGCGTGTAGTTACTGAGTTTCAACTTTTCCGGGTTTTTTTTCCGTCTTAGATTACCTGCAAGTTCGCGCAGAAGGAAGCACATTGTATGGTTTCAGAGGTGGTCCTGCTGGCATCATGAAGTGCAAATACGTTGAACTAACCTCTGACTATATTTATCCTTATAGAAATCAGGTTCATTTTTCTTTGTTACAATTTTTTGGAACGTAGTTTTACCAGTTTTGCTGAAATCTGGAAATCCTTATTATATTGTTTTAATCATTCTTGTATCATGACTTCTGATGCTGTCTTATTGTATGTGTTTGAGATTCGATATGTTAATAATTTAGTATGTCGAACTGTTATTACTTTATTTTGTATAATCAATGGTTACAAGATTTTGATAGCTAATAATAACAATTTCGGTTGGTAGGGTGGCTTTGACATGATTTGCAGTGGGAGGGATAAGATTGAGACACCGGAGCAGGTGAGTTTGTGAGGCTGTGTTCACTACATAACATGATTAATTCATTTGAGCTCTTAAAGGTCTTCTTTAAGTCTGAAGATTAATTTAGTCTACTTACATGGTACAGTTTAAACAAGCTGAAGAAACGGCAAGGAAGCTAGACTTGGATGGGCTCGTTGTTATTGGTGGAGATGACTCAAACACCAATGCATGCCTTCTTGCTGAGAACTTCAGGTTTGACTAAATGGAATTTTTGATTCAGTGTTTCTATGATCTAGGATGCTTTGTTAATGGAATGGTTTTCATGTTGGTTAATAATTTACCTACAAGATTTTTTACCAGTCCATCTATTATTTAATTAGCTGGTATGTGCATATATGAAGAGAATCAATTTCCATTTATGAATACATACAACTTTCCTGTTGGTTTAGCTAGTTTTTGTCTAATGCTTTTATATGGATTCATGCAGGAGCAAAAATTTGAAAACACGTGTGATTGGATGCCCTAAAACCATTGATGGTGATTTGAAATGCAAGGAAGTTCCCACAAGTTTTGGGTTTGATACTGCATGCAAGGTAAATGAAAATGTGCAGTCAGTCTTCATTGTACATTTATAATTTTGTATTGTTCTAGTCCCTACCTTTTAAACTCTGCAAGTATGGAATTTTAGCTTTTGATAAACAGTAATCTTTTATGTGTGGGTAAGGGAATATCAAGTATATAAGGATGCTTTTGATTGCTACTGATGCATTGCAGTTTCTCGAGCAGCACATTCAGCATATCGTAGAATATATCTTTCTCCAACCGTTGTCTCTCTTCCTTGAATTCTCTGTGTTGTGTGTTCCATATTGATGGGAAGGAGGGGGGTTCTTGTGGTGTGATCTTTTCTACTACTCGTGTTTGGTTTATATGTAACATTATGATATTTATGACCTCTCCTGAATATACTCCTAAATATTAATCTAGTAATGCACATTTTCTAAAGAAAATCTTAAATTTGGTCCTCCAAAATTACATCCTTCATCATATTATTCTTTCAAAGATTTTGATCACTAAAATAGTTCCTTAAATATTCAAACCATCACTATATAAGTCCTTGTATTAGTCCCACAAAGATATAACATGCCCACCAAAGATTTAAATTGTCACCAACTATGTTAGTCCTCTAAAATTGTTTTACCAAATTACTCGCTCAAAGATCTAAAACATCAGCTTATACGTCCCTTATAGAGGACTGAAGTAATGGAAAAAAGAATCTTTAAAGGACTAATTTGATGACAAAATCTTTAGATGGTTAAAGTGGTGACAGAAGAATCTTTGAGGAATTAATTTGGTGAGATTTTTTTATGACATTTACAGAGAGTTATGTAATTTTGAAGAACTAAACTGGGAGTTTTCTGTATTCTTTTATTGCTAAATGTTGTTAGATATAGTATAGATAGCTTTTTGGATACATGTTGCATGACCTGACTATTTCTCATTTTTTATGTTAATTTAATGCAGATATATGCAGAAATGATTGGAAATGTTATGATTGATGCCCGATCAACCGGAAAATATTACCATTGTAAGTACACAAAGTTGAGACACTATTTAGATATATATAGTGATTTAGACTGAAGCGTTTTGGAGTTGCATCACCTTGGACACGGATAGCTGTTGTTGCTGTTCTCTACTACTTCCATTTCCATTACTCCCCTCTTCTTTCAACATGGACTGCTTCACTTTCTAAACATTTATCTCTTTAGAGCTGCTGCTATAATTTGTTCTTATTTTATCATCTGAAGGCCTGAGTGAGGCATTATGCTATATCATTTTATAACAAATTACTTATTTATCCTTCTCTTCTCAACTCTTCTCATATTCAAGCAAAACATTGACAAGATGGTTATATCTATCCTTATTGTCGCTCTTTAGTTTATATGATATCATCCATTCTACTTTTGACTAGCAAAAATGCCACATTCATACGTCATCCTTGCCTTATGTTATGTCTACATTTGTCTTGTTATATGAATATTTTCTATTTCTGATTCTTTTTGTATTAAAATTCATGTTTTTGTGCTGATGAAGGGTTTTATAATTTCATGGAATGTTATTGGGTCATTGACAGTTACATCAATATCAACTATGCCCTCAAGATTAGATTTGATAGAACTTCTGAAACAGGATTTGCACTTCTTGGAGATTTCTTTCTTTAATACCTAAATAAAATGTGATGTTCAGAAAAGAAATGATGCTTCAATTTATATGGTGGATGAGACATCATTTTTTTAACCAGCATATAGCTCTCTTCCTCTGTGTGTGTGTGTGTGTGTGTTCATTATTGCTCCACTGGATTTCAAACAGTGACATATGATCATCTGTCTGCAGTTGTGCGGCTCATGGGGCGTGCAGCTTCACACATTACACTGGAATGTGCTTTACAAACTCATCCAAACGTTACAATTATTGGAGAAGAGGTTTGTCATAAAGTTGATCATTTATCTAGTGGTTCTGCACTCTAGGGATTCATAAATTAATACAAAATGCTTCCATGTTTATCTTATGATTAAAGCTTGCTAATTTGTAAGAATTCCTTTATCAAAATTTAATATAACCTGTAAATTTGCATCTCAGGTTGCTGCAAAGAAGCTGACACTGAAAAATGTGACAGACTATATTGTTGATGTTATTTGTAAAAGAGCTGAAGTTAATTATAACTATGGTGTTATTCTTATCCCTGAAGGTCTTATTGATTTCATTCCTGAGGTATCTATCATTCTGCATAAAAATAATTTATTTACCAGTGTTTCCTCTCTGTGAACTTGTGATTATGCATTGGTGTTCATGTACAATCTGCATGAAAGCACACACTTATGATTATATTCATTTGTACATGATATGTGCTATTTGCAGGTCCAGCATCTTATTGCAGAACTCAATGAAATTCTAGCCCATGATATTGTGGATGAGGGTGGGTTATGGAAGAAGAAACTCACTGATCAGTCATTAAAACTTTTTGAATTTTTACCTCAAGCAATTCAAGAACAATTGATGCTTGAACGAGATCCACATGGAAATGTTCAGGTGCCTAGTGTTGTTATAGTGCAGTGTGTTTATTTGGCTCCAATGCTCTATTTGAATCAGCATTAGTGTTAACCTTCCTTGCATTCCCATTTAGGTTGCCAAGATAGAAACAGAAAAAATGCTTATTCAAATGGCTGAAACTGAGTTGGAGAAGAGAAAGCAAGAAGGCAAATATAAAGGCGAATTTAGGGGGCAATCTCACTTTTTCGGGTATTTTATCTAATAGTGATATCGTTTGCCAGTTTGACTTCGTTGTTAGAGTTTGTAGTTACCACTTGTTTAAAATATGCAGTTATGAAGGGAGATGCGGTTTGCCAACTAATTTTGATGCTAATTATTGCTATGCTCTTGGTTATGGTGCTGGAGCCCTCCTTGAAAGTGGGAAGACTGGATTAATATCATCAGTTAGTGCTTCTCTCTATGACTCCATCTTTTGTTATCAACTTAAATATTTTTTCTGGATTGGTGTTGATATTTGATTGTGCTTTGAAATTGTGTTTGTTTTGTAATACTGATGGCATCAACTTAATTTTTGAATTCGCTATGATAATTTTGACTAGGTCGGTAATTTATGTGCTCCAGTAGAAGAATGGACTGTTGGTGGAACTGCACTCACCTCACTAATGGATGTGGAGAGGAGGCATGGTACACATTTTGATTTATGAGAACTTTTTGCTTTGCCCCCAATTGCAATTCAGTGAAATTGCCGTCATGCAATAACCTTTTGTTTCAATGTTGTAGTAAAACTTAAATCCATAGCTATACCCTACTGCATCAGTGCTATAAAAGACAATCAAAATGCATTTTAAGTTAGAAATATTTTCTCTTGGAAATTTTTGGACATGATATTGACAGTTTTTATTGTTTTGACAACTTCTGGTTATGTCAAAATCATAGAAAGTTTGTACATGTTGCATTTATTTGAATGCTTTTTTTGTTCTGCTGTTTATGAATGTGTAATTTTCATTGCAGGTAAATTCAAGCCTGTGATCAAGAAGGCAATGGTGGAGCTTGAAGGTATATATTCATAAAAACTTAAAATGACTTGGGCTTTAATACTCCACTAAAGTAGTAAGTGAACTACATTTTTCATTCATGTTGGATCAGAAAAATTAAATGAAAAGGAGGGAAGTTTTTTTTTTATAGGTTCATAATGTGGTACAAATTACAAAAGATTAATTTTTGTTATTTTGCTTCACTAATCACCGTGGTACGAAAAAATCAGTTATTTCTTTTCACTAATCACCATGACATTGGTCCCCCAGACCTTAGTGGGTGGATCCTGACTGTATGTTAAAAATATAAATTTTGCAATATCCGATACTAAAATGATTTCAGTTTTAACTTTCAACATCAGCTCCAGTTATCTTGATACTGAATGACTATATTCCATGTTGAATTATTCAGGTGCACCCTTCAAAAAGTTTGCCTCCTTGCGGGATGAATGGGCCCTGAAGAATTGCTACATCAGTCCAGGTTTGCATTGACTATTATTTCACCTATTGCTTACGCTGCCTTCAATCGGATTGTTTCTTTGTTTTGTTTATACATTTAAGTTGACTGAAAAAAAATGCTTAGTTTTAATCTACTTTTTTGTTTAACTGGAGTCCCCTACATTATTACTCAAGTTTGTTGCTGGTGATGATGATTTCATTGCAGGTCCAATCCAATTTGCCGGCCCTGGATCCGATGCAATTAATCACACTCTACTCCTAGAGCTTGAAGCCCTAGCTTAAGCATAGAATGAGGCCCTTGTTTTTATTCATGTTGTTCTTCGGGATCTTGCAAATATAGTTGAACTGAAACTAGCTAGAGTTTTTGTGTCTACGTATGAAATTTATCAAATAATGGTTCGTGAGTTGATTGATGAGCATTAATTAATGACCAGGTAGAAAATCAAATTTTCGACATCATCGCATATTTGCCTTCAAGTTTAAAATATTTGAGCCGCTGATCATTGCATTTCAAGTTTATTGGCTTTCGTTTTCCTGTTTTTTTTTTTTCCAAGTCATTGAATGTCAAGCCGATTTGATTGAAGTTTCTTTGATGTTTTAGATTATTTTCCATTTTTACAGGCGAGAAAACTATTGTATGATTTAAAGAAAGTTGTTGCCTTTTTCGTATTTAGCCATTGTCTCATCGTAACTTGTGTGTGTTCGTTTTATTGTCTACAACTACTTAAAACATTTCCGCTTGAGCCACAAAAAAACAAGTTTGCAATACGACAATTAGTTGTTTTTTTCCTTTTGTTTTAGTATATTGAATTTTTTGCCCAAAGCTAAAGAGTTATTTCAAAATTTGAAACAATTTTCCAAGCTTGTCAAAACACTGTCAAAATTTGAAACAATTTTTGGTCATTTACTCTATCAATCGATGAGGATTAAGTGCAGAGTGCAGAGGACCTCAATGAGTAAATATGTATGGATGCAATATTAAAATCAAACATTCATTGACGGCTAGTTGTAACATGTGAAATTACAGCTGGAGTTAACAGTACAAATGAATGAAGTTATTCATGATTTAAGTTTACTTTATTAAAGGCTTAATTAAATTTGTTTTAATGAATAATAATGTTCAAACTTGATTTTAAATTTGAATACATAAACCAGTCAAATTTAAATTTAATTAAATTGACATTAAAAATTAATGAATATTTCATGTGTGTTAATTTTAGACAAGTGAAAATTATATAATTAACAAGTTGTTTCTACATCTTAAAAACTATCATTACATACTTTCATTTTCAAATGTCTTTAATTTTTCTTTTTTCTTTCATCTCATCTTCTAAGATAAAAACATCTACAGAATATTAAATTGATGTCTAAAATACCTCATTAATATTTTTAATAAATAAACAGAAAATAATTAAGTTATAGATTAGCTAAAAAAATTAAGCTCAAACTTTATTTGCAACAGGTAAAGTGTAAGTTTAAATTTTGCACATTAAATAAACTTGTCAAATTTAAACGTTATTATTTTTACAAGTCAAGCTTAAATTTTTAGTTAACTCAGCTAGTGAAAGAATAACGAACTGTATATTCCTAGTTCCTTTTTCCATTTTACCTTCTTTAAAAATCAGACTTGCATTGCCATATCGATGGAAGGGGTGCAGAAGAAATAAGAAAAAGACTTTTGAAAATTAAACATTCTACTAAATCCTAACTTACATTAACCGTGGAAAAATGTGGAACAAATCATACTCCTATTAACCTTTCTGGTTTTCATAGTACAAAATTTAAAAATTTGTGTGTCTACTATCAAAATCTGAACTAAAATGATGAGTGTAGATAAGCCCAAGTGGCATACTCTTGAAGGTAACATGAATTTTCCAGAAAGGATAATTAATCAGTGGGATCGGATACATATGAACATGGGATTCATATGATTCAACGAATAATGATTGTTACCAAATTATATATTGGTTTCTACATTTTGGGGTGACTACAGCTAGTAAGATGTTGACGATCAAACGTGGTGGGCTTGCAATTGGGTCAAGGGGAAGGATTTATCGCTGCTGGTTGTGTCTGTGACAAATCAACCAGTCGCTTTATGACTTTGGTTCGTAGTAGATGTACAAGAAAAAACATCTCTCGCTTTCTTTCTCTCTTATACACATTCATCCATACAGATACAGACACGGTGAATATGCTGAATCACTAGCATCACTTGGTAAGCATGTATTAAGTTAAATAAATTGAAAGTTTGTGAATCATAAATGTGTAGTGGACTTTATTGAACCATGCACATGACCTAATTTATGTCTCACCAACATGGGGTTGGGTTGGGTCCATAATACTATAAGCTTCTAAGGGGTATGGTATATGTCCTATATGATGACTAACTGTGATGATTTGGAAGTAAATGAAATAAGCACAAGCATTCAATTCTTCTTTATGCTTTCTGCTTCGCTTATTTTTCTTTCCTTTTGCACCAAATTGGCTTCTTGAGTGATGGGTTCTTTGACTGTTTGACTGTGTTAATCTCGTTTTGAAGATGCCAAACTGAAAAGGACGGCCACTTTTTCTCCCGAAGACAAAGCTTGCACTGGTTTATCTTTTGGTCTTGAGGGGTACCTCTTTTATGTGCAAACCTCGTTCCTTCACATGCTATGCTTATTTGCCCTTTTTGGACTGTTCCACTTACCACGTTATGGAACCTCCCCAAACAATTGCGGTATTGCATATTTGGATTTCGATTCAAATGTTAATGAATTCACGTTTATTTTTAATTTAATTTTTTCAAGAAACACACATAATATATCTCTCCCCGTCCCCTCGAGATCTTTGATGCTCCTTTCATATCTCAAATTTTGTTAAATTACGCATAAAAACCAAATGATAAATGGTATATATAGATCATGCGAGTTTACTATACTATGCATTATTATCAATATGGACATTTTTTAAGTAAATTTCACTCCTTTCTTTTTTATCTTAAAAATATATATATTCTTTCGTACAATTAATGTAAGTCAAATTTTAATATATTTTATCTTAAAAATTAGTTTTCCCTTTAACAATTCTCAGCGTTAAGTAGTTGTTAATCTCTATAATAAAATTAGGAAGTTGAAAGATAAAATGAGAATTTTAAATGAACTTTTAACGTCAGTAATAAACATGTTTTGTCAAGGTAGGAAAGTGTAATGTTTTTAAAATATAAAAGATGTAATTTGAACAATAACCAAGACAATAACTTGTAATAAAATATATAATTTTTTAAAAATACGGCTAACAATTCTAGTATTACCTTTATTTATGATTATATTATATTAGTTAACATCTCGAGAGAAAGGATGACGACAGACTAAATTTAATGAATACTCTTCAAAGTTATTCAAAATAGATAGGTTTTATCGATACATAAGTAAAATTAGTATTCGTTAGTATATCTAAGTGTAAAACCTGTGCACATGTATATTATTTACTAATTTTTAATAGATAATGTATTTTTAAATATAAATAAATATTAAAATTTAAATAATATATTTATAAATGTCCAAACTAAATAAAATTTGATATGAATGATTATAAATATAATAGAAGATGATTCAACCGTTAAATTGATATTTTATATTTTATAAAAGAATTGTTAGATAATACAAATGTTTAATTAAAAATTTAAATATAATTTTAGTTCATATAAATATAATATATTTTGTGATAAATTTTTAAAATTTATTATGGCGCTGTTATATTATTTATTTTAGATTTAATTATATTTTTAATTTTTATAAATGTAACATATTTTATGATAAATTTTTATAATTTTTTTTAGAATTTAGTTATTGAAATGTTAAAAAGTTAGAATTTATTTTTTATTAATAATTTTTCTTCTGTTAAGTGTTAAGTTGTCTCATAGATAGTCAACTCATCACTGTCATATATGATTATATTATTTAATTTCTTTATTTAAAAATGATATTTATAAAGAAATTACTTGCGTATTTTAAATATTTACAAAAAAAAAAAATCTTTTGATACTCTAAATGTCTTTCCTTCCAACATCTTCTTTTCTTTCTCTATCTTCATCTTTGTCTCCCTCTGTTTTTATTGGTTTTCAATGTTCCACCAGGCAAGTTTTATACATTTACATCAAAATGGTTGAACCTTTCAAGTCTTAAAAATAGAAAGAGAAGAAGCAGGTTCTCAAAGAAAAAAAAATTAAGGTTATAAGGGACTTTTTTAAAATATTTAAAATATATTATAAGACATGTTTATAAATATTAATTTAAATAATAAAAGATAAAAAAAGACATGAAAATACATAATAGTGATTAACATTGATAAGTTGACTCTAAAAAAAAGTTTAGTACAAAGTTGATGATGGTGACTAAATTTTAACATTTTAAAAATTAACTCCTAATAGAAATATTTATAAGAAGTTTTTATAAAATATATTATATTTATAGAGATTAAAAATATAATTAAATCTAAAATATTTAAAAAAATAAAATGATGTGTAAGAGTATTAAGTTGGCTACTTGCCAATTAAAAATTATGACAAAATTAAATCTTAATGTTTTAAAGATTAAATAAAAAAAAATTATAACAACTTGTCACAAAATATGTTACATATATAAAGATTAAAAATATATTTAAATTTTAATTAAATTATAAAAATGTATATTTAAATTAATTAAACTATAAAGAATAAGTTGAAGTATATTTATAGATAGTCATAAAATAAGAATATTAGGATAAAAGTTATTTGCCATCCAAATATAAATAGTTTTTAAAAAAGATAATTATAAAGACGAATATTATACTGTGCTCCTTAAACACTACTTACAGTCATCTCTATTAAGGTAGTTCGAAATCAAAGTATAATTTATCACAAGTCTAATTTTGATGAACTTTGTGTGGTTAATCGATCTGCTACACTAAGTCTGAAGGTAAACAAACATAGTAACAGGTGATCGTTTCGAGCAAACAGCGTGCCTGGGAATCTTACAAATGGCGATTCTTTGTATTTTACTGTTTAAATCATTAAAAATTGATACTCTATATAATATTATTATTTCGTCTCTCAAAATTAGAATTGGCAAAATAAATTATCAATTTATATACTGTCCGCCCAAATCAAGTTTTAAACTTTGTTAAATTACACTAAATTAATAAGTTCACTTTTTATTTGATTCAAATTTTTAAAGTTTATTTTATATTTAAGAATATTTAAACGAATCAACTCGATTAAGCTGACTCATTTTATGAGTTTTACTTTTTTTTTTATCACGCTCAGTCTTAAAATAAATCTAGCCAAAGTACTTCTTATTATTCTTATTACATCAAATTAAAATTATTATTATTATTA